TCCTGGAGAAGGTGAAGCTGGAATGCTCCTTGGAGTCAAGGATTCTGAAGCTTCATCTGACATACTTTGGGCATGTTGCAAGGAGGGACTGGTCCTTAGAGAGGGACATCATGTTTGGCAGAGAGGAGGGATGGCGAAGGAGAGGAAGACCTTCGATGAGATAGATCGATTCTGTGACTGGAGCAGTGGGAGTATGTGCGTTTGAGATGGCTAGGTTGGCACAGGGTAGAATAGCATTTAGAGCTCTTGTACAAAGGGTCATTATGAGTCGCAAGGGACTCGATGGCACATAACAACAACAACAACAACATATTTATGTCAAAACTTATTTCTTGCTTAAGAAAGGGAGCTCCATCCCTTAGTGGTAAGAATCTGCGCTGCAATCCCAAAGGCATGTAGTTTGAATCCCACCAGCTGCTCCACGAGAGAAGGATGGGTAATCTTCTCCCGCTCAATTAACTGCCTCTGAGAACCCTCCTGAGGGTCAGTTATGGGTCAGATCCGACTACAGTACACAACTACAACAACATGGGAATTTGATAGAAAGATCTTTTTGTTGAATTGTTTTGTTTCTCCTTTTTGTGTCCCGTCGAATCAGATCTGACTGACAGGAGGAGATTGCTCCTTCTTTTCCAGCAGAGCATCTGCTGGATTAGAACTGCAGGCCTTGAGGATTGCAGAACAGCTTCTTGCCACTAGGCCACCAAAGCTTCCTAGAAAGATGTCTTTTTGTAACAAGAGAGGGTGGGTCATACCAGGTGCTTTTGTTAGGGGTCTGTGTGCCTGGGAGTAGCCATGGGAACCAGTGGGGTGTGGGGAGGGCTCAGGCTGCTCTCCACCCTCTTCCCCTTGGGTTCCTTCCTTCCTGGTAGGCACACAAGCAACCCTCCAAACTGCCTCCTCCCAAGGAAAATTGGTCATTTTCTACAAATGACTGTTCTGATTTTCCCTTCTATTCTTACCCTAAACACAACAGTATGTGCGTGCAAGCGTACACACACACACACACACACACACACACATTCTTTTAGCTTGAGATGCTTCATCCCATAGACTACCTAGAGGGAGAGCCTTGCTCCTCCATCCTGTTCATAGGATGAGAGGTTCCCTTCGTTGCAAAGAGGCAAATAAACTGCCACCTCAGCAGACTCTTCTAGAAGTATAAAGGTTTGGGGACAGAAAGCAAAAGTTTCAGTGACAGGTAGCAGGGTGTGTAAGAGCCCTAAACAGCCAGTCCTGTCCCACAGTGAAGCTTTTCCATGAGTGGTGATAGTGAACCCTGGGGCAGGGGTAGCCCAGGGATTGTGGGTGGGGGTGATTCTAGACCCTGGGTCTTTGCTCCTACTTCTTTTTCTCCCTCCCTCTGAGTCATTCCATCTTCCCGCCCTGCCTGAGGGCTGGTCACTGGCTGGGAGGCCAAGGCTGGGTGCCTGCCAGGCCAAACAGGCCCTGGGGCAGCAGCATTGCCTTGAATGGAGCTTGGCTTAGGGGTGGGAGAAAGGGCATGTCGTAGGTGGAGGAAGGGAGCCCAGCCTGCGTTCTCTAAACTCTCCCTTCCATCTGGAGAATCTCAGCTCCTGCAGAGCCCCTGCCTTGACCCCAGATGATGTTGAGGCAGATTTACAATCCTGGAGTTTCAGCAAATGTGCATGCTTGGCTCCTTGGTATAGTGGGAAGAACACTGGGTTAAGTGTCAGAGGCCTGGGCTTGGGGCCTATTGTCGGTCGATGTTCTTGAGTCAAAACTTGTTACCAACCTCACGCACAGTGGACCGAAACACTGCATGATGATTCTGTGCCTCCCTCACCATGGCGGCTCCATGTGAGCCCGGTGTTGCGCTGCCATGGTGCTGAACCAACTCTCTGAGGGTCTTCCTCTTTTCCTCTGACACTTTACCAAGCTCAGGGGCTTAGGTCAGCCAATCACTCATTCCGTGACCCTGGGTCCCAATTTCTCCAAATAACACAGAGAGAGACCTTGGGTAGAGATGATCAAACTTCCATGACTTAATTCCTCCTGCTTATATGAAAGAAATGCTTCCCTGAGGCAAAGGGCAGGTGGCCTGAACCTTCTGGGGGCCTGCCAGTCACCTGCCCTCCCAAGGGAAGAAGGGGCTATGAACTGGGTCCTGGGCTCCTGAGGTGACCAGGTCGCCCTTCTGCCTGCTGTCTATTTGTACAATTAAGGATAATAGCATCTGTCCTCTTACTTTTGCTGGAACTTGTCCTTTCCTCCAGGAAGATCCTAGGCTCCATAACCCTCATCCTCCGTAACCGCGCCCTGAACCCTAAAGACACATGTGATGAGTCTCCACTCCCTGTCAAGTGCCTCTGATCCTCTGAGCTGCCAACCTGAAGGCACCTGGTTCAAATCCACCAACTTCTCCACAGGAGAAAGATGAGCAATCTTCTCCTGAGCAATTAAACTGCCTCTGAAAATCTGCTGGAAGGTCAGCTATGAGTCAGATCAGACTCCAAGGTACACAGCAGCAAGGCTCCTGAAGCTTAGAGACAAAGTTTTAGTCTCTGAGTTCGCAGGCCTCAGAAATGGCCCAAGAGAAACTTTTTAACCACCTTGTTCCCAGGTGTATGGTAAACTGCAGACAGACAGACTCAGATGACCTGCGGCCAGGTCAAGAGGCCAGAGCCTCAGCTCTCAGGAAGTAACTTTAATTTGCTACTTAAGAGAAACTCTTAACTGAGCAGAGATGGAAAAATTCCTCTCAGTCAGTGACAAAACACACCCTTTGTTCTTCTTTGTTTTCACCTCAGAGTTCCCCAGAGTCCCTGAGGAAGTAAGGAGGAGGGTAAGGGGGGCAGGGAAGGACTTAGAATAAATGGGAATCAATGGGTCTTGTGGTCCTTGGTCAGCCACCCAGCCTGGGGCACTGGAAAGGGCATGGTGAAGGCTCAGGAGGTGGCCAATAGGGCCAGAGGGTTGGAGGGCCAGAGGAGGGGTGGGTAGTCACAGCTGTGGCCTCTGGCCTCACCTCACCCCTGCCCTGACACTGGAGGCAGCAGCTAGGACTTGCTTCCTACAAGAGGCGCAGAACTGTTCTCAGAGAAGATACTAGGACCCAGAGCAGGGATACCCCCGTGGGGAGAGGTTGCATCTCTGACTGAAGCCTCCGGGTAGAAGCTGAAGTAGTAGTCACTTTATCCCAAGGACAGTGCCTTTCCAGTCAGACCTGGTTTTTCCAAGTGTCTTCTCATCAGACCATGGAGCTCTGGTGGCCTACTGGTAAGGGGTTCTGCTGCCAATCCAAAAGCATGGTTCAAATCCAGCACCTACTCCACGAGAGAGAGAGATGGCAGTCTCCTTCTATGCGATTTACAGCCTCTGAAATCCTGATGGAGGGTCAGCTATGGATTGGTTCTGACCTGTTGGCACATGACAACAATCCCACTAGATCAGGGGCTCCCCCAGGAATGGTCTGTACCTTCTCATACTGGGGAACTGCAGGGACCAGTTGCCAGTGTCACTAACTTGGCCTCTCTGGGCGGCAGGCAGCAAGTGGTACAAGCAGCACCTCTCCTACCGTCTGGTGAACTGGCCTGAGCACCTGCCCGAGACGGCAGTCCGGGGTGCCGTGCGTGCTGCCTTCCAACTGTGGAGCAATGTCTCGGCGCTGGAGTTCTGGGAGGCCCCCGCCACGGGCCCTGCTGACATTCGCCTCACCTTCTTCCAAGGAGACCACAACGACGGGCTGGGCAACGCCTTCGATGGCCCAGGTGCTGACCGTCCATCCCCACCAAAACCAGTCCTGCCCCACACCCAGGTGGGGCTTCTGATGGGCTAGTGGGAGGGCAGGCCAACCAGAAGAGGCAGTTTGGGGTGTCAGTGGGCACTTACCTCCCCTGTGACCTTGGGCAAGAAGCTTCTACCTCTAAAGGATCCTCAGTTTCTTCATCTGCAAAATGGGAGCAATGGTTTCTGCTCAGTCATTGCAGAGAAGAGAAGAAGGTCAAATGAGCTTTGCAGACTTTAGAGAATAGACAATGGTCTATTCTGGAAAAGCCTTCTAAGATCTTGTCTCTAGAAAGGCTGTGTCTCTCTTGTTCTACAGGAATGCATAGTCTACAACTGATGTTGTTGTTAAGTGCCGTCGAGTCATGGATGACTCATAGTGCCCCTATGAACAAAAGACCTAAGCACTGTTCATAGAGTTTCCGAGGCAAGCCATTTCAGAAGTGGATGCCGCTCCTGCTTCCAAGCTTGTTTTAATCGGGGAAGCTCCACCAAACACTGTCCACCATGGGTAACCATTATCACATTTGGCACACGAGTGTCACAGTATTTAGCATCACAGCAACCACAAGTTACCTCTGTACAGCAATGCACAGACCAGTGCGTCACCACTTAGAAGCATGTTTGGAAAAAAAAAACCCCAATTTAAACCAGGCCTGAAGGCCGCAGATTAAAATGACCCACCTTGGGCTTGGTAGTATAACCTTCTGTCCACTAGGCCAAAGTAGCTCTCTCTATGTTGTCGTTATTATTGTTAAGTGCCGTCAAGTCGTATATGACTCATAGCGACCCTTGGGCTCGGTAGCATTCTACACACTAGGACTCTTAAAAATATATCCAGAAGCTACCATTGCCCCACTCTACCCCTGCCACCCTGCCCCACCAGACCACACACAAAGAGGGGCTCTACCCTCTGTCTGCCACATAAATGCTCCACATCTCCACATACCCAGGGCCACAGACAGTCTTCCTCCTTGTCTGACCCAAAGATTTCTAGCTGCAATTTAAATGGCTCTCCTATTTTGCACAGCATTGGGCTTTAGACTCTGAATACAGGCCCTGTACCAATCTCCTCCCACTAATGACTAAAATACACCTGATCACTCCCCTTCGGGGAGGAGATTCAAGCCCTGTGTGTCCTAGAAGTTTGCTGCCCTCTGTCCCCACCATTGCACTACTCTGCTTTCATCAAACCTCCCTCCAGCAAAGCCTACTTCCAGGCCTGGCTGCTGCAACCCAACTAGGACCAGGGGAAATTGAGGCTTTGGGGAATCCACATGGTAATACACACGTGAGCTCACATGTGCTTCACTTTACCCATTACATGACACATCATCTGCACACCCAGGCTGAGTCGGTAGTCAAGACAGCATTAGACCCCAAGCTCCTTGAGCAGTTCTCTGAGGTGGGACAGATGTGTTGTTGGCCTAAGTTTTATGTTCTTTCTGAAACCTTTTCATCCATCTCCTAGGGTTATTGTGAAAATGAAATGGAATAGAATGGAGATAACAGTGCTTAAAACAGGTCAAAGCATATTAAAAATAAACCAAACCAAACTTATCATTGTCAAGTCAATTTTGACTCATGGTAACCCTCCACCATGTTTCTGAAGTTGTAAAGATGGTAACAATGGCCCGTCTTTCTCCTTCTGAGGTGCTGGAGGAGTTAACTTGCTCATCTTTTGTTCTGCAACCCAACAAATCAAGGAGTATGTCACCAGGGCTTGTTCTATGTGAAAAATAATAATAAACACTAAATAATAACTCAGTGGCAAGGAGCTCTGGTGGTCCAGTGGTAAGAAGCTGCACTGCAATCCCAAAGGCATGTGGTTTGAATCCATCCATAGGCAGTCTCCTCCCATGTGATTAACTGCTTCTGAAAACCCTCTGGAAGAATCAGCTATGGTCGGTTCCTGCTCAGTGGTACACAACAACAACAGCATTGCTGTTGACTCATAGCCAATCTCCTCCTGGATTTCCCAGGCTATAGACCAAACGAGAAAAGACTGCTTGTCTCTCTGAAGGTGCTGCTGGCAGGTTCAAACTGCTTTCAGGTTAGCAACACAGCCGCCAAGGGTCAGAGCTTCCTACATGCAAAATAGGAAGCACACGTTCCACATGTCCCATGTATCCCATGAGTCTGCCCTCTAATGCCTGCTTCCTAAACGTTGTCAGTTCCCAGTTGGCCTGAGCCCCAAGAAGGTAGTTCTGAAGGACCTTCAAGTCTTTAGGTCAACATGATCACAGGGCAGTCAGTACCTGGCTCACCTGAACGTCAAGGGGTGGAAGGAAGCTGCACAGCTAATAAGCCCCATGAGGGGCATGCTAAAAGCATTAGATTCTCTGCTCCACACCAGCTCTCTCTGCTCTTCTTATAAGCTGAGAAGCAGAGGCCCACAGAGGAGCCTTGGGAGGGTAAGGACAAGAACAAAAGAATAAGAAAACATACAATTCAATAAGAAAACATACAAAACACACAGAGCACACAAATCATAAACGTACAGCTTGATGGCTTTTCACCAACTGAATACACCCACACCCAGATAAAGAAACAGAACATTACCAGCGCCCAAGAAGGTTCCATCATGCTGTCTTCTAGGGGTAGCCACCAACCTACTCCTAGATATTGTTTTGCTTTTTAAATTAATAGCCAGCTTCCAAATATATTTACAATTTGTTGTTATTAAGAATCTACACAGCAGAATACACATTTGAGTGGACAGTTCTACATGCCCGATTCAGATACTTGCTTACAGGCTTTCAAGTTGTGCACCCGCTCCCACGCTCCTTTTCTAATGCTCCTCCCATTAACATCAACCCACTACCCCCTTGGTTTTCTCTCTCACTCTCAATCACTGCCATCAAATCTCTTTCGATTCATAGAAACTCTCATTGGGTTTCCAAGGCTGTAAATCCTGCCATCTTTCTCCCTCAGAACTCCGGATAGATTCCGATTACTCAGTCTTTGAGTTAGCAGTGCAACTCACTACGGACTGTGCCCACCAACACTCCCCAGTTTTCTAACTTAAAATTGCTGTTGTTTAGCTCATAAAGATCTTTAAAGAGCACTGTGCTTAAGACAGGCCATTCTTTCTTTGCTAAGCTAAACCATCGTTTGGTTTCAAGAGCTCAGAGGATATTTTTGGCTTACGAGTTTAAGATTATTTCAGAACAATAGTTTCAGGGATTCATTTTAGAGCAGAGTTAGGTCGCCTAGATAGATAACTTCTGAAAATCATTTCTGTGTATCCCTTATATAGTTCTGGGGAGCTCTGGTGGAGTTGTGCTGCTAACCTAAAAGGTGGTGCCCCTGGTGATCAGAATCCACCTGCAGCTTTAAGAAGAAATAGGGGCATCTCCTCCCGAGCCATTTACAGCCTCTTAAAACCTGCTGGAGAGTCAGCTATGGATGGGTCTGTTCTAACTTGATAGCAACGAGTATTTGAGGGGTTTTCTACTGTGTACTAAGGACTGTTGCTAAATGTTCTAGAAGATGGGGGATGGTGTGTCGGAATTAGTGAGACTGGCTCAGGACAGGGCAAGGTTCAGAGCTGCTGTATACAGGGTCACTATGGATTTCAAGGAAATTGATGGCACATAACAACAAAAACAACAGTATACACATATTTCATGCTCAGGATACTTAATGCTCTTTGTTCTCATTCTCATGTCAGATCAGTAAGTTGAAACACAGAGAAGTTAAGCCACTTGCCCAAGGTCACACAGCTTTAAATGGTAAAATTTGAACGATAGACGTTAGGTCTCAGTCTCTACAACCTGCTGACCTTTAGGCGTTAGTACTTAGATCCATCGACTGCCTCCTCCTCCAGCTTCTGCCGGGGCTTAATTGGAAGGGAAATTAAGCAGCACAAGTCAGCCCCACACACCCCATCCCCAGGCGTGGCGGGGTTGTGGGAACGTGGGGGCAGAGAGGGTCCGTGTTTCCGCTGACCCACCGCCGCCGCCGCCTATAGGGGGCGCCCTGGCGCACGCCTTCCTTCCGCGCCGAGGCGAAGCGCACTTCGATCTCGAGGAACGCTGGTCGCTGAGCCGCCGCCGCGGGCGCAATCTCTTCGTGGTGCTGGCGCACGAGATCGGCCACACGCTCGGCCTGGCCCACTCCCCCGCGCCGCGCGCGCTCATGGCGCCCTACTACAAGAGGCTGGGCCGCGACGCGCTGCTCAGCTGGGACGACGTGCTGGCCGTGCAGAGCCTGTACGGTGAGTCCCTGCCCGAGAGAGCGGCCCACCCTGACTTCCCCGCTTCCCGCACGTGGACACCATCCGCTGACCTCAGATCTCCATCCAGAACGCTGGAATCGGGCCATTCCCATCTCTGCCTTCCCCAGTCACTGGTTCCTCAAAACTAAAAACTGCTTCCTTTCCCCACTTTCTCCAACTGTCCTTTCCAATTGCTGTGCAGTTGCAGGCCAGTTCCTGGGTCTCTGCCTAATCCTACCCTCAGCAGCTCCTCTAACATGCTTGCCCTATTACCCAGAGGCAATCCCTCCATTCCATCCTTGCCTCATCTCAGACCCCAAAGCCTGCATTCCTGCCCCTACCCCTACTTGCTCTCTACCCCTACTCTCCATGGCATGGATACCTACTCCCTCCAAACATGAACTTGAATCCCTGTCTGGCTTTCAGGTTAAGTCTTTCCACCAAGACTAGGCATGACCACGTGTATTAACCAGTTCGCTTGCCTCAAGGCCTTGCCGGGACTCTAGCCTGTCCCCTCTGCCTGCCTCAGCCCAGGACTGTCTTCCACAGAGCTTAATAGTGATAACCGATATTTCATGAGTATCTGCCATACACCAGGCACATAACACACCCCTAATACCCATGAGATAAGTATCTTTTTGTTCTCAGATGGAACCAATGGACTTCTGAGAGGTTAGTTAACTTCCCCTAGATCACACAGCTAGGAAACTGAAGACCAGATTTCATATTTTTATTGCCAAATTTTCTGTCTCCCTCCTCTCATAAGGGAAAGATAATGATAATTGTTGTAATATTCATAACCTGCTTCCCTGAATGCTGAACTGATGCACTAGTATTGGCCCTCCAGACTCAAGACCCTCTCCTCTTAGTCCCAAATTATTACTTGGCACTCGACCCCAATTTTATCCTAATAGGTGCTTCTTTGCCAGCCTCCTGGTTTCAGTGCTGCCACTAACATCAACATCCAGGGTCATCACAGCCCCCCTCCCTACTTTATATTAAATAATGACAAATGGAACCAAGGAAGAGGTCTGGAGTGCTCACCATAGCCCCTTCAGCATGTCTTCTCTCCCTCATGAAGGCAAGCCCCTGGGGGGCTCAGTGGCTGTCCAGCTCCCAGGAAAGCTGTTCACTGACTTTGAGGCCTGGGACCTTCACAGTCCCCGGGGCAGGAGTCCTGAAACCCAAAGTCCTAAATATTGCCACTTTTCCTTCGATGCCATCACTGTGGGTAAGTTGGCCCTGCCCTGGGTCATGCCTTATTTCTTCGTTCCATTTCCCCACTTCAGGATCTCCAGAAATGGAGGGTTGGGGCAGAGGGGGAATGAGTTATAAAATCCAGAAACATTCCACTGGGTAGCAAGCCCACAATAGGGAAACTCTTCTTCCTCCTGCCCACTTTCCCCTCAGCTCCAACTCTGCTGGCTGGCTGCAGCCTGTTTTGGTCAGTCTGGGCAGCTGGGTTCTAGGATCAAGCCTTCCCTAAAAAGAAGTCAGGAAGCTAATAGCCATTTACCTCTTCTTTTGTGACCCCGGGCAGATAGACAGCAGCGAGTGTACATTTTCAAAGGGAGCCACTTCTGGGAGGTGGCAGCTGATGGCAATGTCTCAGAGCCCTGCCTAATGCAGAAAAGGTGGGCTGGGCTGCCGCCCCACATTGAGGCTGCTGCAGTGTCATTGGAGGATGGAGACTTCTACTTCTTCAAAGGTACCAGCCCTGGGCCAGATGAGAAAATCGAGGCTTAGAGAGGGGAAGTGTCTTACCCAACAAGATCAAGAAGGCTAAAGAAGCCTCTCACATAGGGAATTCATGGTGGAGTCTGCCTTCCAATTTGAGCCCAGGGAAGAATTCCACCATGGATTTCCTTTCTTTGGTGAAGTGGGGCTGAGCAGGTGCCAAGGTTATGACGGAGACAGAGGAGGGAAGGGTCTCTGAGAAGAGACTAGAAAGGTGTAGGAAATCACTCCTGAGCTCTGCCATCCAGCAGAAAGAATTGCACCTTCTGTGGGATGCTGGCTGTGTGAGGTGGGACATGTCACTCACCTTTCTTAGCTTGACCTTCTGCAATGGGGAAAATAATACCTTGGGATTATTGGGAGGAAAGGTTAGAGGATAATGTCTGAAGAATGCGCCGGGTGGTGCTAGGTGCATGGTAATTCATGTTCATTCAAGACTGAGTGCTTTTATGCTCTCGGAAGTGGTGGAGACACCAGGGAACAAAACAAACTTCCCTGTCCTCACAGAGCTCATATAACTACTAGTTATGAAAGCCCTTCCCCCTCCGTGTTTTCTGTTCCTTACCTGGGAAGGGAGTCTTACTTCCGTTACGTGGTAAGCAGGTTGGTTCAGTACTATCATCTCTCCGCTACCACCTGCTAAAAGTCTAGACCACAACAACCCGACTATTTCTCCTACTGTTTATGACTACTGAGCCGTAGAATCTGTTACTACTTTCCTTGTTGTGTGCCGTCAAGTCAGAACTGACTCATTGCTGACCCTCTGGCAGGTTTTCAGAGGCAGGAAATCACGTGGGTGGGAGGAGATTGCCTAGCCAGCTGAGCTGAGCTGGCGGATTTGAACTGTCTGCCTCTGGGACTGCAGCGCAGCTTCTCAGCACTTGGCCGCCTCGCTCTTCCATAGGAATACTCCCACACCGTGGAGAGCCAGGAAGGGGAGTGGAGAGGAGGCCAATGGGGACGAGAACCTCGGGCTCACTCGGATTCCCCCATGTCCCACAGGAAGTCGATGCTGGAGGTTCCGGGGCCCCAGGCCGATGTGGGGCTCCCCGCAGCTGTGCCGGGCGGGTGGTCTGCCCCGCCACCCCGACGCTGCCCTCTTCTTCCCGCCCTTGCGCCGCCTCGTCCTCTTCAAGGGTGCCCGCTACTACGCGCTGACCCGAGGGGGGCTGCAGGTGGAACCCTACTACCCCCGCGACCTGCAGGACTGGGGCGGTGTCCCCGAGGAAGTCAATGGGGCCCTACCGCGGCCGGACGGCTCCGTCATCTTCTTCCGAGATGACCGCTACTGGCGCCTCGATCAGGCCAAACTGCTGGTGACCGCCTCGGGTCGCTGGGCCGCCGAGCTGCCCTGGATGGGATGCTGGCACGCCAACTCAGGGGGCGCCCTGTTCTGAAGACCACGGGACTGACTGAGCAGTTGGCACCCTCATGGCCAACCCCATACCTCTGCCCCAGGGGCGGGACCTGCGTTGCAAGCCTCTGGGCCTCCCTGTAGACGACTGGCAGGAAAATCTTCACCAGGAAGTTTGTCCCCTGGAGAATGTGGCATTTTCTGTGTGCCCTTCCAGGAGTTCCCGATCCCACCTCCTTTGCCCCAAGACCTGTTGGCTCTCATTGCCTCCAAGATGTTGTTTCTAATAGAAGTGTCGTTCCCGCCCACAAGGGGGCAGCACTGGGACGCAGGCAGGAAGGATGCCAAATTCCACGCAGAAGTTAGGGCCCCTGGACTCTTAGGGCCTCTTGGGCTTTTGGAGAGTTACTTTAAATCACAGACACCATCCCAAGGAAGCGTGGGTGGGGTGAGAGTAGGAAATCTCAAACCTCAGAGCCCATCAAAACCCTTGAAGGGGCCAGGACTTTGTGAAGGAAGATTGATGCAGTTTTTTGTGAGGTAGAATAAAGAGAAGCCCCAGTTGGTAGGCTGGAGGCAAAAGCAGCCTTCTTTAGAATCATTCTTCCGTACTTTCCAGTGAGAGCAGATGGGTGTGGATGATGGGGAAGGAGAGACAATGCTAACTGATAAACTGAAGCTGTGTGTGTGTGTGAGAGAGAGAGAGGGAGGGAGGGAGGGGGAGGGAAGGAATTTGCTCAAAAGCAAAGTATCCCGCTCTCCTCCCAGGCAGATGAAGTTGGGGAGGCCTCCCCCAGGTCTGCAGGCCCTGGAGATGCAGCCTCCACTCTCTGAAGGGAAACTCTGCCTGGCCTGCAGGTTGGAGACACTCCTTGTCTTCACAATGGCCCCATTCTCCAGGCTACACAGGCAGCATTCCCAAAGCTCCTACCAGCTGCCCAAGAATAGCTGGAATTCCTGAAGAAAGAACCAGCTCCCTAGCCCTCCCTCTCCCTTAGCCAGTCTGATTTTAGCATCTGGTTCTCTAATCCTCTCCCCTCAACCTCTGCACCTCGTGTGCTAGCGCCTGATGGTACACTCACCCTCAGCAAGACCACATTTCCAACGGAGGGGAGAATAGTCTGGCCCAGGCTTGAGCCCCCAACTCCTGACAGGCATCCTTGCATGCAAGCCTTCATTTTCTTCTCTGAGCAATGGGAATAAAGGCCTTTGTCTGGCCTCCAGATGAGGTTGGTACAACCCTGCCCTGTGGATAGAGGGGCAGGAGGTGGCCCCTTGCCGCCCCCTGACCCTAGGGGAGGATGAGGAAGGTTGATCTTCATCACTCCTCCACCCCAGGGTCACCTCATCTGTGCCTCAAGGCACTGACACTTTGAGCAGAGGCTTTATTGAGAGATTTGAGGGGTGAGGGCAGGTTTCACAAAGGGTGAGGGAACCAAGAGGTTCTTTTCTCTAGGCCCTGACTGCCGGAGGTACCAAAATGCCCCAGAGACAGCTGTGAGGTTATATCGGGACTGGAATAGAGTCAGGTGGGCGGTAGCTGTGGGAGCTGCCTCCAGCAGAAGCCCTCAAGAGGCTCTGTTGGAGAAATGGAATTCACATTACATTGGGCTCCTCATTGGGTGGGAATGCCCCATCAACAGTGGGCAGTCTTGACCGGGGGGTGGGGTGGGGTGGTGGCTCTGAGACAGGCAAGTTTCACAGAATGTGTTGGAAAGGTCCGGTTTCAGGGGTAAGGAGAGGGTTGCAGGCTGCCTGGGGTCAGGCCAGGATGGAGGACCCAGGCTTAAAGGAGGGCACTTAGGGGCCCCAGGTGGCCCCCGTCCTTCGTGATGCCCTCGTCGCACCAATGTCCTGGTGCTCCAGAATACAGTGCGCCACGTAGGCCGGGTGGCTGTGCAGGCTCCTGCATTTCTTGCAGAAAAGGATCTCGCAGCGCGCACAGCCCCCGCCGCGCGGCCGTTGCCGCCGCTTCTCCAGCATGCACGTCTCCTCCGGGAGGCTCCGCTTTCTGCAGGCGGCGACCCGGGCGCTCAGTGAACCGGCCCGTCCCCTCCACCCTGAGACCCCCTCCATCCTGCCCAGCCCTTCGTCCTCTGTCAGGACCCAGGAGCAAAGGCGCGCCCTCACCTGTCCGCGGGAGCCCCCAAGCCGCCGAACTGAGCAAAGGCGCTGAACCAGGCCCAGAAGCCGCTGTCTGCGCGCCGCAGCAGCGCCACCTGCTGGGTACTGAGCTCCTGGCGCAGCGGGCAGTAGGACACTGAGCTGTCGTCCTCCTCTGCCACCGGGCACTCCTCTTCGCCTTCTGCCACGCTCTCCAGCGGCTGGCTCTCCTCATCTTCCTCCTCCTCCTCCTCCTCTTCTTTCCCCTCTGCCTCCCCGGCCCGGGGTTCCTCCAGTTCCTTCTTCCACAAAGGAGTCTTCACGCCTACAGGCCGGAAGAAACTGAAGTCAGTCTCCTGCCCCCAGGGAAGGGTCTGCGTACTTTGATGTTGCCAACAACTGACCCCGCCCATGAAGAACGATACTTATAGGATGCACTAGGCCACGAAGACTCCTTTGAAGGGGTTTTAGAGTGCAAGGATTTCCTGAACCCGGGAGGGTCTGCCTTCTCTCTCAATTCCTCAGGTTACAAGCTTCTTAGCTAAGAATTCCGGACTTCTCACATCACTTGTCAAGTTCCGTTTCCTTATTTGTAAACCTGGAGGAGCGAGGAAGTTGCACCTATCTCAAGATCTGCTGTGAGGTTGGTATTAAAGAGTGCCTATGCAAAAGCGCCCAACCCAGGGCCTGGTGCACAAGAAGCAACCATTGAAGAGCAGCAACGTGGTGACGACGATTGAAAATGCAAAGACAATAACGGCTCACCAAACTTCTCCTGATTTACTTTACGGGGAGGACCTGATATCTCGTGGGCTCGCCACACACATTAATTGCACTAATTGTAATTGCAATAAGTGCTTGTTTGTATATTGGGGTTTTAATCAGAATTCCTGTCCTCAAGTGGACCTTGCCTTGGGAAAGCTTGCAGTGGAGCTGGCAGGCAGCTCAGACCAGTGCCTCTGCATAATTAGGAAAAGGGGCTCTCAATTAGAAAACGTGCCTCTTACGGGCAGACCAATTAGGAAAAGGTTTGAGAGGTGGATGAGAACCCTAGGAACAAATGCTTAGGCCTCATTCTAAGCTTGCTGCAAATTGCCAGCTAAATTTCAGCACCACTGTTCTGGTGGCCTAGTGGACAGGAAGCTCTGCTGGCCTAGTGGGTAGGAAGTTGCATTGCCAACCTAAAGGCGGGCAGGCAGGCAGGCAGTTAAAGTCCTTGGTGGGAGGAAGATGAGCCACCTCCTCCCTCGCAATTTCCAACTTCTGAAAACCTGCTGAAAGGTCAGCTAGGAATCAGTTCTGATTCCTGGGCAATGAGTTTGAGTTGTGTTGTTGGCTTGATTTTGAGGGTTGGTTTGTTTTTGGTTTTTTTTCTTTAATTCTGGTAGCCTAGAGGTGAAAGAGTTGCACTATCAACTCAAAGACTGTTGGTTTGAATCTATCACCTGCTTTGAGGGAGAAAGGTGGACAGTTTCCTCCCATGTGATTTATATGTTGTTGTTATTGTTGTTATGTGCCGTCGAGTCGTTTCCGACTCATAGCGACCCTATGCACAATGCACAACAGCTCTAAACCCTGCTCTATCCTGCACCAACCGCACCGCCTCTGACACACCCATCCAGATTACCCCAGTCACCGAATCAATCCATCTCATAGAGGGTCTTCCCCTCCTG